TGACTAGAATCTGACTGTCACTACAAAAAAACCTTTGCTTTAACATAGTTGCTGCCCTTTAAATCATTTAAATTTAAACCCCAGTAAACAAAAAACACTGCAGCATCTGCAATTCAATACTGATCAAGCGAAAAATGAAAACATAATAACAAAGCCATGTGTGGACAGAATAACTACATCTTATTTTAGGGGCTTGTAAAACCTCTTAGGCAGAAATGATTTTAATAATATTAATTTATTGCTTATTGACCCAGTTTGGCTTTACCTATTCATTAAATATTGTGTTTGACTCTAGAATACTTTGACAAAAACATGTGTTATTCCTTCTATTTGTGCAAGGTGCCATGTCTGCAACACAGCACAAATCATCATTCCTCCATTTCTGTGCTTGACAGCTGGTACTTGTGCTAATGTACATTTTTGCAAACTATCCCATAGTTCATTATGGTCAAACACATCTGAATTGTACCTGTGTTAATGGGCAATATTTCAATATATTAATATATTCCAGACATAAACATTTAACATGCAAAATAGGCTGGCAAGGTAGCCAATGATGTTCTCTTGTTTTATTAATGTTAATGTTTTTGTTTTATTAATTTCTGATTACTGCCGTAGCTGACATCAGGTTTTAATGTGCTACTGCCGGGGAAATCAGAACGTTTGCAGTTATGAGAAATCATTCTAATAGCTGAATGAAAGAGTGGCAAAAAGGTTGCAAACAGTCTTATATGCCTAACAGAGTAAACAGCAATAAGTACTGGTATACAGTCAGTACTCAGGCTTTTCCTCCTTGGCTTTGTGTTAACATACAGTTACGTGTCCCAAACCAGCTAGTTTCTGTAATTCCTGCTTATATAGAACTGATCACATGTTGATGATCAATGGGACCATTGACAACTATTGTTTCACTTAAATCTTCCAAAAGAAAAATTAGTAATTTTTTTCTTAAAATTCTTTTTTTTATTTAGTCTTTGTCTAGTCTAATAGATATTATCAGTGTAATTGTTTTTTTATGTATGTAAGAGATGAGAATTTAACTATTTTGGAACCTGATCAAGTTCTTAATGATTCTAAGAGGAATAACCCTTACCATGACTATATGAATAAAAAAAAATATATACAAATTGTTACATCCCTGAAAAGCAGAATTAAAAAGTTCTATATTTTCTTTATACATTTTTTTATTTCACCATTGAGTGAGATTTTGAAAGCCTTTATTTCTTGTGATTTTAATAATCATGGATAACAGATACACAAACTTCAATGTCTAAGCAAATTTCAGTATTACATAATATTAAGAAATAATTATATTTTGATAAAATAAATATGTTACTGACTGGTACTTTAAACTGACATTTGCTCCATCCTCTTGGAGCAACATAAACAGTGCAGATTGACAAATCCAATCATGCCTGCGCCGAGGTTAAGGGATAATATCACCCACCTCTGTGTCTATGTATGTTATAAGCACTGTCACTTTAAAAGATGGCAGCAGAAAATTGCAGTGATGATTTGTGTTAATCCATGTCGTGTTACAGTGACTTGATGACAGCATACATGCTATGATCTCCTGCTCACCATAAGAAATTAACACTAATATCCAATTAAATCAAACTTAGATGGACTCGATGATCGCACAAGTGAGCAGTAAGCACAGTTAGCATGAAATTAGAAAAAATGTGTACAAAGCGTGGGGATGTGAAGGAAACTCATTAGTTCCTGATGTTCCAGCTGTCGTCATACAGTATGCAGATGGAGATGCTCTTTGAATACACATTTAGAAATGTTTGCCTGACCTATAACTATAGTTGCATTTTATTCAGGTTGTTTTGATCTCTTTAAATACTGAAATATTCTGGTAAATATAAGCAGATACATAATAAACCAACCTGTTGTAAGAATTTGGGTATAAGCTTCAATTAGTCATCTTTAAATGCAATTTCCATAATCAGTTTGCCATTGAGTTAGTATTTTTGGATTTAATTTAATAATCAAAGCTTATGATAAACAAGATATAGTTCATATGAGTTTAAACTGCCTCATGTGAGAGGGACAGATGTCCATGGGAGGTAGCTTTTACAGCAGAAATTATCTTGTGTGCATCACATAATCTGAGAAAGGTCATCGTCAGCTCATTTTGTCCTTCATGCTCCACACGTAAGAACTGGAAGGGGAGGTGGGGGGGTACTTGAATGCTGATGACCTATATATTACCACACTGCAGAGGAAAGCGGTTACTGGATCCACAGGCAGAGCTGTTCAGGCTTTTTTCCCCAATGGAGGAGGACAGAGGTTCAAACAAACTCTGGGGCATACCCAGAAGCAGTTACTGAAAATGAGAGATGCTGAGCAGTAATATGATGCTGCTGTGTCTTTTTTAAAATGCATATTACAATGAGATTACAGTGTGTGTAAGAATTGAAAAATCTCATTTGAAACAATAGTTATTGATGCACATTTTAAAGTTAACGCAAAAAGTAAACAATCATATGGGTTTTATCTTAGTATGTAATGGGGTTAAAAGGTTAGTGCATCTCTGTTCAAAAATCTTCAATCTTCAACTTCTTGATTTAGGTTTCTCCTCATAGCAAAACTTATTATCCAATGCTCTAGTAAAATATGTAGTTGGATATCTTGCACAATTAAAATCATGGGCATGTATAGACAAAGGCGAATGGGGTCCAGTGCTCCTACTGAACTGGTCTTGGCCCCTGTTAGGGCCCCTCTATTGAGGACGGGATACTAACACAGTTTCTTTAATGTGCTGAAACAGAAACCATCATTGATTGGTGCCTTACACCAATTTAAGTTTTTACCTTTACTGTTTTACTTAAAAGAAAAAAAAAATTAATTAAGGAGTTGCAATTATAGCTTTAGCCATAGCGAGAGAAAAAAATTACAGTTTTCATTTACTAGATTAGTCTGCAATATTCCACAAGCAGATTTTTGCTCACTTAATTAAATCATGAAGTAGTGAACTATTTTATTTACTTATTCTCTGTGCCCAAATGAACAAAAAAAGGACTGGTTCCCCTGGTAAATTAAATACTTCAAAGTGGTTAACTCTATAGCACTAATATTGGTTATGAGATGACAGGTAACAATACAGATAAGTTGCTCTGTAAGGTGTGAATTATTCAAGTTAATAAAGTAAATTTGCCGTTGTTCAATCTGTGTGAATGTGTAAACCTTTAGAGGAAAAAACTAAATACATTGCATAATTGCCAAAGGTTCATCTTTGATCTCATCTGACCAGGGCTAAATCTTTCAGATGTTTGCTGTCTTCTAACAGGTTTGTACATGTGGCAGACTACAAACACTTCCCTCTGTGTTTTTCATTTAACAACTAAAGATTCTTATCACTTTGACATTAAAGCCAGCTTAAATCATTTCCCTTTAACCAATTCTCCCACTTGAACTTTTCTTAGATCTCAACAGCTCCTGTAGAATACCTGCACAGCTCTTGCCTATTTCTCTGATTAAAGTTTTCCTGGTTGATTGACTATGGTGGAAAGTCATCTTTACTAGGTTTGCAGTCATGTATTTTTTTTTTTAATAATTGAATACATTTTTCTCAATAATAATTTCTATGATGCTTTGTTAGAAGTTTAAAGCTTTGAGAATTATTTTTCGTGACCTAGCCCAGTTTTAAAGTCAAGACAATGTCTGTGTAAACATTCATTGAAGAAGCACAGTTAACATTGTTCTTTAATCTAACGACTAATTTATCAATAGGAAGACCAAAGATGATTGTTACATGGGGAGATATTTAACAGTCAAGAAAAAGACAAAATTCACATGATTCTTTCACTATTTAGCCATCCCTCGTCTACTGTAAGCTCACGTAGTGGAATTCAATTTTATAGATAACAAATTGATTCCAAGGGTCAAAAGTATATCTATTTTTTTAGTACCAAATGTCAAATCTGTTTTGAGTACAATAACAGCTATACTCAAATCATTATTTCTGGTTGAAAATGTAGCTAGTCCAAGAAATATTTGTGCATATTGATCTAAAGAGTCGTTTGAAAAAGCAAGTTGCAAAAAAGATGGTTCCTGGGTAGTCTTTGGGTCCACCAAACCTGCATTCAAGCATTGCCAACAACCTCTCTCACAAAATAACAACAAAACAGAATATTAAAAAAATGAACAAAAAGAACTGATATTGTAAGATTTGTTCTTGTCAACTCCCGTACACACACACATTCTGCTATATATAGTGAGGACCATGTGTTGACTCCCATTGACTCCTATTGATTTTCAGTCATTTTCAACCCATTCTATGCCCTACCCATAAAACTAACCCTAAATCTAACCATTACCAATGCATACCCTCACCCCTGACCCATTTGACACCTTAGCCCTAAACCTTACCATTACCAAAATAGCATGTGAGGACCGGCAAAATGTTCCCACTTTGCAACAACTGGTCCTCATTTTGATGTTGAAATTGGAAAATGGTCCTCACTCTGAGTGCTAGACAGACACACACACACACCTAAATGAAGCAGAGGGTGAACTTCATTTACCCTGCAATGCATTCTACAATATTGCTTCTGTTCTTACCATTTTTGTTTCATTTTCATAACACAGCACATTATTTTTTACAGCCTAACCCAGTTTATTGGTAGGTTATGACAAAGGAGGACAGAGTCTTTGTTATTAATGAACCAAGTAAGTTATATACTTAAAGTGGTGTAATTCATACCATTGTATTAAACACACTTAGGTATATATTGAATAAAAGCATTTTAAAAATCAGGGACTTAGATATACTCAAGGAAAAAGTGTTGCAATCATCCCCGGTTACACCTACTAAACATTGCATCCTGGAAACATTTATTGGTTTTAATTCACAAAACTAGTTTATCTGCACATATCTAAATCAGAGCCTTGCATATTAGTGAGGCACTGATTTAGATATGATTGAAATCATTAAAGAACTTTAACCATCTTAAGAGTTCACATAAAGTTGAAGGGAGGGAAAAAAAGCTTACCTCTGCACCCCTGCCCTCAATGATGCAGAATATCGCCAGTCAGCATTCGGAGCTTTTGGCTGAGAGAGCATGAGGAAGAAAAAGCAGAAGAGAAGCAATGGATGGAAAGAAACACAGAGGGAGAGAGACAGGGAGAGTAGAGAGTGTGTTTAATTTGATCTCATAGGGTGCATGGCCGTGCAGGGCCATGGCTTCATCTATTATTTATCAAGCACATCCCAGGTCAGGATTTGGTTGGAGGGCTGCACTTGTGTCACTCCATCACAGCAAATGCAGCAAAAAGATTTTAAACATGGCTGTGCTGAGCCAATATGACAGATTCTTTTTGACAGATTATTACTTAATCTTCGAATTTGACAGCTGAAAGTGTTTAGCCCTGTCCCTGAGTGCTCATGTCTGTTATCAGTCTGATGTGTGTGGGTTTGTGCATATCTAGAGTAAATCTGTCTGCTACTGATATATCCAGTCTGAAAGTTGGAAGGTCTCAGTAGACATGAATTGCTGCATTTAAAATCCAGAATGTAATAAACTTTATTGCTAAAAAGTTGAATTCTATTTCTATGGAACTAACCAGTATGAAAATAGGCTATTTTTTGATCAAGCTTTCATGTTTAGCATTAGCCAATAGCTCTATTTTTCTAGCTCACTTTGGAGATGCTTCTTAGTGATTTTGAAATGTGTAAATCTTACAGTGAAATTGCTGATTTTAGATACAAAAAATGTGGCCAACCACACTTCAAATGAATAGTGAACTTGCTTTAGATCAAGGGTTGAAAAGGGTAAAAAAAATCTGGAATATTCAAAACCTTCCTCGAAACATTCCAAGTACAGTTAATCTAGAAGAATTTTGAAGATATTGCAAATGCAAAAAAATTAATGAGATTAAAAGAAATTAAGGGGGATTAAATAAAAAAAAAAATTGACATTCTGGTGTGGAAAAGCATCAGGAGTGACACTAATGCAGAATAAGTCCTGAGCAACAAAGTCTGCATACATTTGATTCACAAGAGGACAGGATAAAGAAAATACCCATAATGAATATAATCATAATAGTCTCAGACACATTTCAAATTTGAAATATAAAAGCTTCACAAAACTATTAATATATACATGGTTTCATGCAAAATAAAAGGACCAACCTCTGGGCAGATCTGAAGAGAAGCATCAGGCATACTCAGTCTCCGTACAAATCCACTTCCACTAGTGAAGAAACGGTCAGCACCACTACCCCAGGTGCCACTGATTGGCCGACCCGTGTTGTAAAACATAAAGGTGTCGCTGCCAGAAGTAGCGGTCAAGCAGGTCTTGTAGCAGTAGGTTTTTGTCAGTGAGCCATTCCCACGCACCTCAATGTAATGAGGCTCCACTTTCAGGTCTCTTCGAAGCACCACATTGTTATTAGGCTGTCCTGCGGCCCCTCCGACACCTCCCCCGCCTGCACTGACACTGCTGTTTCCGCCATCTGGGGGAGGCTTCTGTGAGCCACAGCAAGGAGAACAGGAACCAGGCTGGGTGCAGTAAGCATGGCAACGGACAATGGCAAGCACCACCACGGTGACCAAGAATACAAATGTTGTGGCGCTCAAAGCCACAATAAGATAAAGAGTAACGTTTGAGAAAAACAGAGTGGCATGAGGTCGCATTACCTTCTTGGTATCAGGTGCAACTTTTGGTGCCACCTCCATGACTGCCACATTAATAGTGGCAGTAGAGGAAAGAACTGGCTCTCCGTGGTCTTTTACCAAAACTGTAAGAGCAAAAGAGGTGGAGTTGTCCTCCAGGATTCTCCGGGTTGTCCGGATCTCTCCAGTGTGCTCATGCACTTTGAACAGGTCCAAGTCAGTGGCTGTCTCCAGTACGTAGACCAGCCAAGCATTTGGACCAGCATCAGCATCATATGCCACAACTTTGGTCACCAAGGCACCAGGCTCTGCATTCTTTTGAACTGTCTCCAAGGAGCGTGTCCCATTGCCAGCAGGACTTACTATTAGTGGAGCATGGTCATTCTGATCCATAATGTAGATGTAGACAGTAGCAACTCTACTTAGTGGAGGAATGCCCCCGTCCTGGGCTTTGACCTGGAAATGAAACTCTCTCAGTGACTCATAGTCGAAGGCTCGCAGGGCATAAGCCTCCCCAGTATCGGCCTTCACAGACACATATGAGGTGACAGGAATGCCGTGGTTGTTGTCATTGAGCACGGTGTAGGTAATGCGTGCATTCTCTTTGATGTCTGCATCTTGAGCTTTCACAGTACACAAAGAGGCCCCAGGGGCATTGTTCTCAGTCACATATACTGTGTATGAAGTCTGCTCAAAGCGTGGCGGGTTGTCATTAACATCCGCAACATCCACTTGTATCGTCTTCTGGGAAGATAAAGGAGGGGTTCCTCCATCCGTGGCACTCAGAGTGACATTGTAGGCATCAGTGGTCTCGCGGTCCAGGAAGGCTGAGGTAACCAGGGTGTAGTAGTTTCTGAATGACTTGATCTTGAATGGAAGGCCTGCTGGGATCTCTAAGGTCACCTGCTTGTTAGTGCCAGAGTCCCGATCAGTGACACTAATGAGGGCTACAACTGTATCTGCACGTGCGTCTTCCCTCACAGGGCTTGAGAGAGATGACAGCACTATCTGAGGGACATTATCATTCACATCCACAACCTCCACAACCACCTTACAGTGGGCTGCAACAGCTCCCGGGCCTTTATCCATTGCCTGGATGTACATCTCATACGAGTTGGTCTCTTCATAGTCAACATTGCTCCTCACTCTTATTTCACCTGTATTGGTGTCCATGCTAAACATCTGTCTCACTCTTTCAGGGGTGTAACTACTAAAAGAGTAATAAACCTCTCCGTTTGTGCCTTCATCCAAATCTGTTGCATTTAGTTTGATCACCAGCGTGTCTTTGGGGGAGTTTTCAAACAATTTCACCTTGTAGACTGAACTGTCAAAAACGGGATTGTTGTCATTTGAGTCTAGGACCCGGATATTGATTTTGGCTGTCCCTGTTTTTTCAGGTATTCCACCATCCACAGCACTTAGAATTAGCTGGTGGTAAGGCGTCTGCTCACGATCAAGGGGCTTTTTAAGGACTAGCTCTATGTGCTTTGTGTTAAGGGAGGGCTTGTTTGATACCAGCGCGAAATTCTCGTTTGTGCTGAGCTGATACATGCGGACAGAATTGGATCCAACATCTGGGTCCTGGGCGTTTTCAATCGGGTAACGAGATCCCGGCATAGCAGATTCAATTATTTCCAGTTGGTACTCATCTCTGGGGAACTGCGGCGCATTGTCATTTGCATCCAAAACCTCCACCTTGACATAGTGCACCTCTGTAGGATTTTCTACCATCACCTCCAGATCAATGATGCAGGGGCTGGGTGAATCACACAGTGCCTCTCTGTCGATCCTGTCATTGACCAGCAGTTTCCCATTTTTAGGGTTGACAACAACATAGCGCTTCCCACTGATGGAGGTTAACTTGATCTTACGGGTGGAGAGCCTTCGAATATCCAGCCCCAAATCGTGCGCCAGATCACCTACCAGAGCTCCGTTTTCCAGTTCTTCTGTTATCGAATACTGCAACTGTCCAAACGCAAGGCCACAAAATAAGGAAAACAGCACAAAATAATAAAAAGGCACATTCCTCCCTGTCCAGTTGCATGTCCCCGTCACAGCCATGGCAAGCTCACAGGATCCTCAGACGGATTAAACGCAGCCTTCCGCCTTTTTTGCTTGCAGTATCTCGCATCCCAGCACCTCATTAAGGTGGACTAATTGGTCTCCCAGTGAATGTAAGAGGAGCGGCTCATCCATCGCGCTGCCCAGATGAAATCAACGCTCCACGGTGCACCCATCTTTTTTCCTTTGTCCGTGATGCGTTTTTTTCCTCTCCTCACTCCAAAGCGCGTTGCTGACGGGTGTGTTTCCCAGCCGCTGGAGCTGTGAGACTAACAAGGCAGATGAAACATTCACACACAAAACCGGAAACGAACATGTTTGATTTCAAAGTAAAACCACATATTCTTCTTCCTCTACTTCTTTGTATAAATTAATAGTAGCTATTATTTTTTTTGGCCTATTATTATTATCGCAGTGAGGATGAAAGCAAAAAAGTATATCATTTTACACAAGCCTAAAAAAAATATAATTATTTATGTTATACCTTTTTATATGCCAAGTCTCTTGTGATTGTCTGTATGTCTCTGTCATAAACTAAGAGGTAAAACGATGTAACCAGATTTTTCATGAAGAAATCCAGCAGTTATTTAGATTAACAGGGAAGCAAACATCCGAAATAGTTCAAAAAAATAAAATAAATAAATAAATACATCTCAATTTTTTCATTTTGCCCAGAAAGTCGCACCGAGGAAATATTTCAGAACTTGTTCATTTATTCACTTGCATTTCCTTGTAGTTTGGAGTCTAGTTAAAGGTATAAAGTGGAATGGGAGATTTTTCTTCTAACACACTGAACATTATTATTATAAAGTTTGATTATTATTATAAAGTTTGATTAAGGTGAAGAAATCTTATTGCTAACCTTTGAAACAAACAATCACACAGTGATGTAATATCATTCTCAGTTCAACCAATAGATTTATATAAAAAGAAAAAAAGTCTAAGGATGGAATAAAAATCGAATACAGTAACTAGGCATTTCAGCGGAAGTTGCTGTGTTTACTGATGCCTGCTTTACATTGAAAGCAGCGCATCCCACCCTAGCGCGCGCTCAGACTCCAGCTCTCTCCTCCTCTCCGCGGTGGCGCATCTTTCTTCCATCCACACCCATTTCTCTCCTATCTCATCCCTCCATTGCGATACTGGTTCTGAGAACTACTACAGACAACACCTCCAGTGAGAAAAAACAAATAAATAAATACACAGAAGAGATCGTGGAAGGAAGGGAGGGAGAGGGCAAAAGAAAAAAAAAAAAAAAAAAAAACCAATCATTTTTACACACATGCCCCCAGTGACAGCATTTCGGTTAAATAAATGATTCTGCTGAAAACACTAATGAAGAGATAATAAATGTGAATATAAAAAAAAAAAAAAAAAAAAAAAAAAAAATTTTGGGCTTGGATGTGTGAATATAGCCGCCTGCAGTCCACCAATCCCATGTTTACAGACAGAAAATACGCGTCTGCAGCCTCAGACGCATGTTTAGAGACAGGCTCCTGCTTTTGTCGTCCTTTGTCTTCCACGCTTGACTCGCAAGGACGGTTATTTCGCCGGTAGCTATTCTGCGGCGCAGGCGGCCAACCCCTTGGCAAGCATTTGGGGAAGACAGCATCGCCCTGACAATCGCAACCTTCCCTCCTTATGGATCACTGTCAGCAGTGGACCTCACGCTGTCAGGTCATATAACCGTTTCGAATACAATGCGAGGGGGACCTCATGAGGCCAGCAAAAAACCTAATTCCTCCTTTGGAGAAACAGGACGAACTCACCATGCATGTGGGGCCAAGCAACAGTATAAACACCCCATGAATATTTACATGTTTTTCACATTACAACTTCAAACAAAACAGAAATTCCTGAAATATTTGATTTAAGATTACAAACAAAACTTTAAAATAAGAGTTGTGGTAAACATGATTCTAAATGCCTGTTTTAAAAACAATAATCTATAAGTTTAGTATTGATATGTTTTAAACCCACTTAGTGAACACCAGGGGCTGTGATAGAAGGGGGGCCAGGGGTACCCATGGCCACCCTTAGCCAATCATTGGCCACCCCTGTGGCCACCCTACCATTTATTTCCCTCTAATACAGATGGTTGCAACAGTAATACTCTCAAGTGAAATATTCAAAACATTTTAATTTTTCTTATTTTAACAAAAAAAAAAAAAACACTGTGATTAATTATGCACATCAATATAACATTAAAGACAATAAATACAGAATTCAAGCAGAAATAGCTTTTGTGTTTTATGGGGTAAAGTGAACAGTCATCTAGGAGCCTCATGAAATCATAAAGTACTATTTGAATAAAAAATTATTAAATAATCAATTTATGTAGATATTTGTAATTGTAAATATCAATTTTATGCAGAATGATAAAAGTAGGTAAGTAATGACAATGGAAAAGCACTAATCTTTGAATATATTCATCTATTTGTTAGCAAAGGCTGTGAAAATAAAGTTGGTCTTTATCTTGAAAATATGGATGTTTTGCTTGTTCATTTTTCTGTTGGAACAGTGTAGATTACCTTGAGGTTTTAGTGCCTATCTACTTTCAGCCACCCCTCAGTGTATATTGGTTATTGCCTGGCCACCCTTAAAAAAATTTTCTGGCTATACCTTTGGTCAACACTTAGCCTATGCATTGATATAACTGCAGCTTTTGGTAGTATGTCAACCAATTTGAAATAATGAATTAGATAATCATGCTAAACTGAAAGGTTTGTCATTTTATTCTTTGCAAATTCCTTACTTAGCTCCGGGTGTACATTTCAGCCATTGTCTTAAGCTTTAGTGGTAAAGGCCAAGCCGACTGGGCAAAAGTTCAAATACAAAGCTTTCATTTCAGGCAGAAGTAACAGTAGCTGTTATGTCTTCTTTGAGCAGCTAAACCGGCTGAAATGTAGAACATGTCTCTCCTAGAGGGAGGGTGCATCGTGTCAGAGCAGGGCCGAAGTCTGGGAAATCCATTCTAAACACAGAAGCAAAGTCGGTCACAACAGCTGGCACAGTGGGGCTGTCCTCATAGCCTTAAGCAGAACACATCATGGGACACATTTATTGAGGGGGCCACAATGCTTTTTCTCAATAAGCTGTTTGTATAACTGACTTTCTGTTTTCTCCTGCAAAACATAAATGACAAAAATAAATAAATAAATAAAATGTTAACTGTCATGACAAAGTATCATAGGATACTTATAGGGTCTTTGACCTGGGGGTGGAGATCATTTCATCTTAAGTTATGTTTGTGTAATGTTGGCTTTAACTTGTGATTAATCATTTCATTTTCGTAATGGCCGATTGGAAAATATGAACAATGAGCAGTCAAAGACGGTGGCTAACAGGGGTCAGTGCCCTGTATAACTAGCCCTGGTCCCTCTTATGGTCCCTGTATTGGAGACATAATACTAAATCAATCTCTTATGATTATATTCTCTGGCATAGAAACCATGATTGGTCCTTTAAATTATTTAGACTTTTGAATTTCAAAGTTTTTAAGTTAGATCAGAGGTTGATTCTATGCTAACTCAACATTTTAACAATAAAATATTTCCATTGTTTTGATTTACACTCCACAATGGCCCTCCTGCTACATCTGCTGTATAACTTTTAATTGTTTTAATTAAAAAGCTATTGGACTAAATTAGAAATTGATTCATTAAGAAACAACAGAAATTACAACATTGAAGTTTTTCACCTTCAGACTAACATAGACTTTATCCTATATTTTGCCAACTTTAGGTAAGAGCAGGTTCCACTTATTACTGTCTTGATAGGCTATTCAAGATTACAAAGACATTATTTCCCTCATCTAATAAAGGAAACACTAACCAGGTGTATAATAAAATAATTACAACTCTTTAGAACATTTAATCTTTATTTTCTCTCATCCAACTTGCAAAGCCACAAAACCTCATCTCTTTGTTACTTTGTATTGTCCACCAGGTCCTTACTCTGAATTTTTAGATGAGTTTTCAGAGTCCCTTTAACAGAGTTAACCCTTTAAAGCCTGATCCAAGAATAAAACAAAACAGAAAATAACTTTTTTTGGTTTGAATTCCTTATTTGACCTTTTAACAAAATATGTAAAAAGAAAAAACAGAAATACATTTTTGATATTAATAATTTAATACTATGCGATAAGACAAGATTATTTTTTGTGTAATCTTCTACTGGTTGTTATCAGGTATATCTGATTGTGTACAATAGGATTTTGAGCAAAGTTTTTACCATTAAATTATGCAAAAGGTGTCAGATGCAAAACATTTCAGAAACCGTATGTATCAAATACGATACATTTGGCATTACAGGGTTAAAGGATAGTTCTCCTCCCCAACAAGAAGGTTTCACATAAGCAGCTCATTTTCAGATAGTGCAGTTATACATTTTAAATAATATGTTTCACTTTCTCTCTCCTCTGTGTCGCTGAGCAGTGTTGCAGAGGGGAAAAGTATTGTTTATTCACAGGTTGGTGATTTTGTTGATAGGGTTGCTTGTTCTCTGTGTACTGCCTTAGACAACGCAGCCACTTTGAAAAAGAAAAACTTTCAAAATAGAAGGCTGGCTCCCTTAGCTGCACACTCTGTAGCAAAATACTAGGAAACTAGAGAGAAAATGGCACTCTTCATGCCTATGGGAATCCTACCTAGTCTGGAAAAATAGTTTACTGCTGTAGAGGATCCTTCGTAAAGTAAGAGCAGCATATTTTACCTCATTAATAGAGGAGAATAAGAATAATCCTCGTTATCTTTTTTAATACAGTTGCCAAACTCAGTCAGAGAAACAACTCGTTTTAACCGTCCATCCCACCTGCTCTTAGCAGTAATGATTTTATGGGATTCTTTATAAATTAGATTTCATCCCAAACAGGGTCACAAGGGATGCTGGTGCCTATCTCCAATTAACCTAACAGTCATGTTTTTGGACTGTGGGAGGAAGCATGCTCAGGGAGAACATGCAAACTCCATGCAGAAAGACCCCAGGTCGGGAATCAAACCTAGACCTTCTTGCCGCAAGCCAACAATGCTACCCACTGCATCACTGAGCAGCCCTAATGGAAAGAGTTAACCCTTTTATAAAACATGTCTGGATGTGTAAAGACCGGAGGCAAGGCCAGGCCAGTTCCTTTGTATCTCTGCTTCTTTCTGTATGTCTGCTTCTGTCTCCTTGAACCCCTGTCCGCCTCGACAGATGACCACTCACAATCAACCTGGTTCTGCTGGAGGTTTTTTCTTGTAGAAGGGAGTT